GCTTTTTTCTCAAAATCTGCTAGTTTGAAAAAGTGCTCATAACTCTAGAATTTGAGCTCAGAATCGGCTCAAACTTTCTACACAGCATAAGAACATCAATGTGTATCAAATAATGTAATAAAAATTTGGGGTGATTTCAGAGCCATTTTTTTGGAAAAACCATGGACTATAGTCCATGCTTTTTTCTCAAAATCTGCAGCCCCCTACAGGGGCCTCAGGCTGAGACCCCCTGTAGGGGGCTGCTGATTAAATCCCACTGGTAAAATAGAGTCTCTCCTTTAGGTCCATTGTCACTTGTTTCTATGGCAACACCATGACAACAGACCACACCTATTAGTACTTACTTGAGGCGTCTAGTACTAGTTTATCGGAGGGTTTCATAGTGATGTTAGTACTGGGAGATATGATAACAATAGGAGCCTTGTTGACATGGGGCTCTAAATAGAATGCTATTATTATTAAGTTATTATTATAGTTAAATTTTTAGTTATATCTTACCTGGTCTAAGTCTAACTGTAATGTTAACAAAATCTCTTCCATAGTTTCCTTCATCATCATAAACTAATACTTCAAGACCGTATTTACCAGCAAACAACTATAGAATAAAGAGAATGAAAATGAATAATAATATTAATAATAATAATTAATCATAATAATAATAATGATAACTATAATATTCACCCAATTGTACCTTATTAGGTAAAATTTAGGCTTTGTTTATATAGCAAAAATGACACAGTCAGTTTCAATTTGTACCTGCTTACAAAAACACGAGAATTTATTACATTACTTTTTCTGTCAAACAGCAAAATGGCATCAAACAAGCCACCTAGAATGTTCCCTGTTCTTCTAGGTTGGTTTATTTTATTTCTTTTAGTATGTGTTTACTTTATCATTAGATATTAGCAAATTAAATGAGATTGTACAGATATTGAAGCAATACAGGTTTCCTGAGGCAAAATGGTTTGACTTTGGATTGAATCTTGGTCTCCTTTATCCTACACTGGAAGCTATTGATGCTAATCATAGAGGAAATACTTCACGTTGTCTCATAGAGTGTTTATCCAAGCGGCTGAGTAAAGCTGATGAAAATGTGTATCCTCCTACTTGGCAGACATTGGCTAGTGCTTTTAGAAAGTTAGAAGCAAAAGCAGTGGCTGAAAATATTGAGAAAACAAGTAAAATCAATTCTAATTCAATGTAATGTATTGTAATACTCCTTTCCCAGTGGTTAGCCAGCTACTACAGCATTACAGTAGTAGAATATCTGGAGCAACACTCTCTGAAGAATCAGTTGATCTGTTACATACAGAAGGACTGATATCTGAAGAGACACTGAGGGAAGTGAAGAGTTGTGGATACACACTAACAGATGATGCAATGAGAGAAATATACACAGCAGTAGCTTATGATCATAACAAATTGAAATCATTTGCTAGCATATTATTAAGATCAACAGGCACTGTTAGCATCGCCAATGACTTATTGAGAGAATATGGTAAGAAACAAAAATTATGATACACGTTAATTGAGCTACGCTCTTTTTAAGAGGACATTTTTAATGGGATGGAGAGTTCCCATGGTGATGAACACAATGCATCAAATATCATTACACCAAATTCAAGTAGTTATAATAAAAACAAAAATAATTTATTATTTTTGCATCTACATAGTTGAAAAATCAAGTGTCAGAATTACAGGTATCTTTAATAGCTCTAAAAGAATGATTTTAAAATTTACTTGTTACAGAATTCGAGTTTCAAATTTCAGAGGAGTATACTTATCAATTTGACAAAATGAGAGGCAATTTTGGAACTTTTTATTTCAAAGTCACTCGATTGGTATCTCACACCATCAGAGTGAACCAACTTGAAGATTTCATAGAATTTCTTGATGATTGCTATCCTGAGCTAGGTCCTAACCTAACCTCTGCTGCTACAGTGAAAGATGTCATGAAAGTTATTAAAACCAAATGCAATGTCATCAATATTGCACCAGTAGAGGAAGTGGTCAGCTTCTACAGTATAACAGAAGCTAAGTCATTGATAACTAATTATAATGCAACAGTTGATGAGTTCTGCCACACTTTCAAACTTCAATTCTTGCTTGACAAAAAGCTTTCAACAAGCGATTTTCTTATTTGTGAAACAATTGAGTTTGTTCTAGACTGGGATCCTGCTGAGCACTTATTGAATGATATTCGTCGTTTAATGGAGAAAGCATTCAAAGGATTGAGCAGAAGGATCATAGTCAAAAGCATGCATAAAGGGAACTCCATCATTATCATTTGTGGTGCTCCTACTCATCTAATGAATGCTTTACAATTGAGGGCTCGTGATAATCTTACTGTGCTGCAAGAAGAATTCGCTTTGATGAGACTGAAAATAGGACACTGCACTGTCTATAATAGGACCATCAGAAACAAAGTATAATAAATATACTAGAGTTTGTTTGAAATTGTATATATTAAAGGAGCTTATGATTGTTGCAGAGGAGATTGAAATATGTGAAGGAGAATTAATGAAGCTGAATACTTACTACAATGACAAAGAAAGTATGAGATGAAGTATTTTGCTCAAATCAATGAATGTATATACAGGTCTTCTTGCTAGGCAAGCAGCACAACTTATAATTTTAAAACAGAAACAAGGTACATCACATTAACTTATAATCATCAATTATGATAATTTTAGAATTTATCAACAGTAGCATGCAGGCATCAGGTATAGCATAAATAATTATTATTGCATTATTTAACTATAATGATAAAGGTTTTAAATCTAAAGTCAAACAAATGGAAAGAGAAAAGGCTGCAAGTACAAAAAAGCGAATGTTACTAAAAGAAAATGAACATTTACAATCTACTCTGAGGATCAGAATAAGTATATACATGATTCATTAGCTTCTAATGACATAATACATGTACTTTAAAACAGGTCAAAAGGAAGTACTACAAGACAATGAAAAGGAGATTGGGAAACTACAGGAAAGTATATCATCTATTAGTGTAAAATTGTTAGAAATGCAAACTTCAAATTCTTACAGTGAGTATTTTATTAATATTCTACTCAGACATCAATATACAATGTAGCTAAAGAAGTGAAATCCACACAGACAGTGCTATCATCCAATGGATCTATCTGTGAAGCTCAAGATGATTATAATGACCCAGTTATTTCATTCAAAAAGGGTGAATTATTTAAGCTAAGTACTAATGGACATCAGATGCAATTACTGGAGACTGGACAGAAGAGAGTTGTTCCAATGAAATACATTGGATACTCAAGAGTAGAATTGCTTTACTTGTTTCAGTTTGCAATAACAAAGGAAGGATTATCCCTCCTGCCTGCTTTCCTTGATGATGATGAAAAAGCAGAAGATTTTGTACAAAAAATTACCACTGATGCTACTCTACTACAATCATTGAGGGAATTGATCACAAAGGATAAATGTAAATAAACATGTATGGTGCATGCTTGTTTAATAAGTATATACAGTATTTAAGGCTAGTTATAATTTTGAAGCACAAACCTCACAAGACTTAACTTTGAAGAAAGGTTTGGAAGAAATGATGATCATTGCATAATCATGTACGTTTATAGGAGAAGTACTTGAAGTTGTTAAATATGAAGGCGGGTATTGGTGGTATATGCATTCATTTCATACAGACAATAAAGGATATGTTCCAATTAATTATGTAACACCAATTGAAGGAAAATGCTCACCAATGTAAGAAATTAAAGCTATAACAAAGGGTTAAAGGATTTAATTATTTATTAACAATAGGTACTACAAGTACATCTACTATCATACAGTGAGTCGTGATGAAGCAGAGGAAAGACTGAGTCAAGGAGACACTCAAGAAGGTACTTTCATAATTAGAGAGAGCATACCTGGAACGAATACTCTCTCGGTTAAAGGTGAAGTCACTATCAGGCACTACCGTATATCCATTGAGAATAATAAGTATTATATATACCCTCATGTCAAGTTTGACTCACTCAATGACCTGGTACGTCACTACATGATGAAAGCTGATGGTCTGATCTGCTCACTAACAGTTCCTATACCCAAACAAGCAAACATACCCGTTGCAATGAATAAAGAGTGGGAAATTAACAAGTCACCAATCAAGTTTGAACAATGCATACATGCAGGACACTTTGGAGAGATGTGGAAGGGTGATTGGAAAGGCATGGGGTCGGTTATGATTAAGACAAATATAGCAGCAAATATTACACAAGAAACATTAATTTTATTAAAGAAGCCAAAATAATGAAAAAACTTAATTGGCATCAAAAAATCATCAGCCTATATGGTTTTTGTACTGAAGACTATCCATTTTACATTGTAACAGAGCCAATCAATGGAAACCTCAAAGATTATTATTGTGCTACACCAACAGAGCTGGTGGATATCACTATTCAAGTTATTAATGGTATGATTTATCTAGGAGAACAGGATTACATTCATTGTGATCTAAGAGCCATCAATATACTATTAGGAGATCATAACACTGTCAAGATAGCAAACTTTCATCTTGCTCAACACCTCAATGGCAATAAATACTGGACTGTTGAGAAAGGAACTAAGCTAGCTATAAGATGGACAGCACCTGAAGGATACACTTTAAACCAACTGAGTATTAAATCTGATGTTTGGTCATTTGGTATATTACTATGGGAACTGGCTACCAAAGGAAAGGAACCATATCCTGGTATGACTAATGAAGAAATAAAGGAGGCAGTATTAAAAGGTCATCGTATGTTCATATCCCGAGATTGTTCTGAACCATTCCCACAACTTATGCTAAACTGTTGGAAGCATAATGATGATGAGAGGCCAAGCTTTAAAAATATTTTGGCCGAACTTATTGAGCATAGATAGCATTCATAATGTATTTTTGTTTGCTTGCATTCATTTATTATGTATTTTTGTTATTGTGAACAAAAAATCATTTCAAACTACATGTCAGGCACACTAGCATCAATAAAGTAAAACTTCATCGGTTTCAATATCACATGTGCCAAGGATACCAAAGCACACACTGCATGCATAAACAATATCAAACAATAACAATAATATAACAAACGTTATTAATCTTTCTACTGTTTCTTCTTGATCAAGTTTCTACTGTTTATTTTTATCACCACATGCACATGTATTGTATATAACATGTCCCACGCATTTGAACCTGTAACTCCACCCAAT